TGGGTTTTATTGTCCAGACCTTAGGTGAATTTGTACTGTCTTCTAATTAGTGCAGATTCTTAAAGTTATGGAAGAAGTTTGAGTGACCACACAGACTACTTGCTGGTGCCTAGGATAGAACATAATACAGAAAAGAAAATATATTATGGGGAAATTCCAAATAATTTTTTTAGCCAGCAAAACATTGCATGGAATCTTTCAGAAGTGTGTCTGCCTAAAGATTTACAGGTTCTTGTTTTATAATTAGTATACACTTATTAAATGTGGAGACATTTTATCTGCATAATTTTTATGAAGGTCCTTTTTAATAAATACAATGTTATATTTAAGAGGTTCCCAAATTAATATCTACAGACTAGATAATAATTATATGGTCAAAAATTCTGTAGTAATAGCACCGTCAACTCATAGTGTCTTCCTTTGTTTATTAAAAAATCTGTTTAAATTGGCCAGTGGGATATTGAAACCAAATTTTAGCCTTATCTATCTGCTGAGAATTCTGTTTTCAAAGATAGAGTCATGAAATAGAAAAGAAGTTATTTTTTTTCTTCCCTTATGGAAATTGCATCAAATTATTTTTCTAAAAACTAAAAGTTGAAGTGCAACATTTGGAAAGTACATCTTTTAAAAGGATTTCTTTTCTTGTTTGGATGATGAGAGAGTTTTAGTAGAGGCATAGTAAACACTGACATAGTTTATTATTATCCAGATCCCTGTGTAGCACATGTTGAATCATGGCTCACATCAATAATTAAACACTTGTCAAATGTTATATAACCCAGGTTACTAACTGGCTGGGAATGGGTATTGTCTTTTAGTGTCAATTTTATAAAGAAATTTCACTGAATGCATACGACATAGTAAATAGCAGTAGAAATGGTAACACGGTGAGATAATGAAAGCAGGTCTTTGAAGTTTGCCCTTATTTTTCCTTTCATTTTAGGCACTTTATAATCAGTATTTACAGTTTAAGGAAACAGAAATTCCACCAAAGGAGACAGAAAAATCAAAAATTAAACGCCTATA